ACTATCGATCTAATTGAATCGATTTCACTCTCGGTCTCACGGTCGACCTTACAAACGTCCTCACTATCGATTCCACTATCGCTCCCATTATAGATCACACAATCGATCTCAAGATCCATAGTATCAATTTTCAAATCATTCACTGATTGGGTTTTCTCAGGTGTAATGGTATTTTATGTGCTTGATGTGAGTTGAGGAAGTATGTGCACGCTTTGCTTTACCCACCTTGAAATAAACTGTTGTGTGACGTATGTATGCGTCTGTTTGTATGAGATTCGCATGCGTACATTCGTATATGTGTGTAGTTCTACCTCTATACAATGCATCACTATATGCACACGTACAACACATGAATGTGCACATGTATGTGTAGTACAGGTGTATGCAGGCATCACGCGGGAGGTGCATTAGTATGGGTTATGGGTGGTTACGCAGTGTAGACTTGGTGCCATGCCATAGAGGTCCGATGCTAGTAAGACCTAGGCTGTATACGTATTACGATTCAGTGCTGAACCGAAAACTGAACCTCGGAAACGAATCACAGGGACGTCGGTGCATTCATAATTGCTGATAGAGCGATATCACATCCACCTGCATAAGTTGTATGTCGTAACGACGTACATCTGCAAACGCACCTATACGACTAATGCTAAACATGTGCATGCACGTGCGTATGTAGAGGTACAGCAGCCAGCCCGTAGAATGAGGATGCGCGCTAAGGATGCAAGGGTCTTGGACGCCCATGCCGAAGCTTTTCGAGCGCGATTGGCGATCGAAAGTGAGATAAGATGGACCAACGTTGACCGAAGAGGCAAGGATGCAAGGGTGCTCTTGGAAAGCCGATCATGTTTCTTATGCGGTTTTCGGGCATGAAATTGTATACGAATGTAGGTGTGTTACCAACTATTTCGAAATCGTTGTGTAGTTTTTGAACTTTGTCATCTGGTCCATGATTAAACGGCTACTACGAGATGATAATGGGGTGGTTGACCATTTGTTGCGTATGCTGGTGAGGTTCTGAAAGTTCCCAATCCTCCTGCGGTAGGTCCTCGGTTTGAATGGAACACTGGGGTCGCGTCTCCGCATCCTTCCCGCCACCGCCTCTTCTCCTGCGTCATGCTCCTCTCTTGCCGCCCTTCGTCCTCTCTCTATCTCAAACATCCTGCCTTGTACGTTGTTGCCTGTCTTTTGTACATTTCCTACCTCACCATTCCTGGGGGTTGCGATGTGTGAACAACTCGCCACGTTCGAGCGTTCGAGGGCTGGTGGGTGGACCAGCACAGTCGAAACCTAAGCGGATTCATATTGAACCCTCGCCATCCCTCGGTGGGGGGGGCGAAGTGAGAAGCTGCCGCCACTTTCGAGAGATGCTGTGGGGGGCCAGCATAACCCAGGCCTGCGCGGACTCAGATTAGACCTCGCCATCCCTCCCCTGGGGCTGCTAAGTGCGACACCGTCGCCACGTTCGGGGGGGTGCTCGGGGTTGCAGCATAGTCGGGACCTACGCGGATTCAGATGAGACCTCGCCATCCCTGGGAGGCTGCGACGTGTGAAACTACAACCACGTTCGAGGGCTGTCAGGTGGGTGGGGGCAGAATAGTCGGGGCCTAAACGCATTCAGACTAGACCTCGCCAATCCTGGGGGGGGGCTGGGAAACTGTAAAACTACAGCCGTGTTAGAGGGCAGCTTCATCGGGCCCTACGCGCATTCATATTAGGCCTCGCCATCACTGGGGGGGCTGCGAGGTGTGATGCCGCCGCAGCCTTCGAGGGCTGCTTTGGGGGGGGGGGCTGGGGGGGGGGCAACGTAGTCGGGGCCTATAGCGTATACGCGGATTCAGATCAGACCTCGCCATCCCTGGGGGGTTGCGAAGCGTGACGTTGCCGCTACGTTCAAGGACTGCTGGGGGGGGGCATCATAGTCGAAGCCTGCGCCGATTAAGATCAGACCTCGCTATTCCTGGGCGGGGGGGGGGGGCTGTGACGTGTGAAGCCGTCGCCGCCTTCGAAGGGTGCTGGGAGGTGGGGGTCAACACGGTCGGGGCATACGTGGGCGAATGCTAGACCTCGCCATCCCTGGGGGGGGCTGCGAACGGCGCAAGCCGCGAAACTGTCGCCACTTACGAGGGCTGCCGGGATGGGGGCGCAGCATCGTCTGGTCCTACGTCCCACGCTGATTCATACTAAGCCTTGTCATCCCTATGGAGCTGGGAGTTCTGGATGTGTCCCCACGTTTCCACTTTCGATGGATGCTGGGGGTAGGGGGGCAGCGGAGTGATGTCATACGCGGGCTCAGGGTAGATCTCGCCATCCTTTAAGGGCTGCAAATTGCAAAGTTGTCGCCACTTTCGGGGCTGCAGGGGATCCCAGTGGAGTGACGTCATACACGGACTCAGATAAAATCTCGCCGTTCCTGTGGGTCTGCAAACTGCGAAAATGCGGCCACCTTCGGAACCTGCTGAAAAGGGGCCAGCGGAGTGACATCATACGTGGACTGAGG